TCTGAGTCTCGGTATGCTTTTCTCTTTCCTTCTAGTTATAGAATTTCCACTCAGCCAGCCTTCCTGTGGTTCTGGATGATGTCCTTTCCGTCTTTTAGTTGTATTTTTGAAGTGGTTGTTCGAGGCAGCAAACTCGGGGGTTTACCTATGCCGCCATCTTGGTTCTATCCTATCTTATTTAATTCTTGTATCAATTCTGAAGTCCTCTTTGTTGTTTTACAAATGGAGAACTAAGATGTTACAAAATTAGCAACAGTAGCAATAACAGCACCTGGCAATAAATATTTGGCAAATGAATGAAAGAATAAGTAAACAAACATGCCAAAGATCAGTGAGACAACTAATAAGTGCTCAGCTCTAGATTTAACAAAGTCTGACTCTTAGCCTGCACACTAAACAGTGAAGTAAGTGATGACATTTATCTATGTAAATACAATGGATCCAGTAATTGAAAAGGTTTAAATAACTGATGGATTAAAACCAGCTTCATCGATGAAATTATAAGAGGAATGGAGTGTTGAGGATAAGAGTCAAGTCTTTAGAGTCAGAGATCTGATTTTAATCCTACTTTTTGTATTTATATAATAAAAACCCAGTGGTCGTAACGCTGTAACAACCAAAGACCAGTCACCAGGAGGCCTCGCTGCGCACAGGTGGGCGGGGCTGCGTGTGCAGCAAGGTGTGCGCGGGTGGGTGGGGACTTGACTCTGGGTCCCGCCCCACACTGGGATTGGGGGCGGGGGGGTCCCGGGTCTTGCACGATTTCACGTGCTGGGTCACTAGTTAGTCATATTACCTCCTTGAGTGACATCTACCTCTTTACCCCTGTTTTTTTACAAATGCCAATACTCTGTAAAGTGTGACAGTGATCCTCTTCTAAATAGAAAAGTGGGATTAAAAGGAATAATACATGGAAAGTACAGGTCTTGGCACCATAGTACTAATAAATAACTATAGTAATTATTACTAACAGTTTTGGTCCATTAGAAAGGAAAACAACTCAATGAAAACAATCTGGAGAAGTTTGAATCTGGCAGTGGCAGCCAGGATGAATTTGAAGACGAGAGCAGAGGCAAGAAGAATAGTAGAAAATTGTTGAAGCATTCCAGTAATATCTGCAAGAGAGCAGTAGTGTGCAAGAGACAAAGGGAGAGGGGCCTAGTGAATGGGAAAGACACTGTAAAGGCACAATCAAAATGTAATGCTAAGTTTATATCTTTTTAGAGAATTCTATGGTTATTGTTGACAATTTGTCATTTGAATTAGTACTTAAATGTCTTTGGCTTGCAACTCAAAGCTCAAGAATGATGGTAGTTCTGATTATGACATACTGAATATATTGGTAGAACTTTTTTTGCTACCCCACCACAACCAAAATAGTATCATGGTTGTTTTGTTGTTGTTGTTGTTGTTGTTTTGCATAGTTTTTTGAGATCTAAAACAATCCACATATTTGTTTTCCCAGGTCATTCTTTCATTGATCAAGGGCTGCTAATTGAAAACCCATTCTCTGTTTTATTTCAGTGCAAGCAGCTACTGACTCAGTCTGTAGACTCCAACAGAGGGAGCAGGAACAAAAAAAGGTAAAAGTAGATCATTTGGGTATTGGAGCCTCTAACTTCAGGGCTTTTATTATAATCATATTAGCTTTTGATAAAAAGAAGTTATCTGAATTGGGTTTTTTATGCAATGATTTTAAAAGATTTTAAAATGGCTCATTCATGATGTTTTGAAGAGGTATGGGCACATGATTGCACCATCCATATTTTTATAGTTTAAATTACAGACCTTGACCTTTTTTTTCCACCTTTTCAACATTTCCATCTTTTCCTTGAAAGTGGTATTTGTCTTATGGAGGAGAGAGAATAGGACTTTTACATGGAACAAAAAATACTCACCAGATTGGAAATATAAATCTTCCTTTGCACCTGAAGCGTTGAGTATAGTATGTATATTTCTTCTAGAAAAGGAAGCCTTCATGCCTGTGGATGGGTTATTTAGTGAATAGTCATAAGTGCATGTGAATCACTTGCCGGGTAGTGCTTTGCTTATTTTAATTATATCTTAACTAAATTCAGATGTGGAAAAATAGCTTAAGGATTTAAGGTCCTTGTTATAATTTGGTGTTTTCACATATAATTTTCATGAATTATTTATATAGCTTATATATTGCTTTAAACCAATAAAGATACACTTATTAAGAAATGTTGAAAATGCTAAGTCATTCTGAAATACACACCTTTTTGCATGTGCGTGTTTCAACGAGTGTTACTATCTCCATTTCTCTGGAAGGTGTTGTGGTTCAGATTTGGCATTGTGTAAAAATATAATGGAATGAACCTTGCCCCAGTTTGAATTTCTTCACCCTCTGCTCAACTTTAAATATTGATATAAAGTTTAAATATTGAACAGTTTGATGAATCAAGCCTACTGAAAGAACTTGACATTCAAGCCAGGGGGGAAGGCTGCCCAAGAAGAGTAGGATTGTTTCTAGCAGGCCAGGTCAGGAAACAGGCCATTGCGGAGCACCTTGATAAAAGGGCAAGGCAAAGCCATAGGCAGGAAAGTCTGGGTTGGGTGGAGTGTTTGCACTGTGTCTAGAGAGCACTGTAGAGGCAGGAACGGGGGCTTCAATGGGCTTTTCCTGGCTGGACAGATTTTTTTTTTTTTTTAATCCTCTACTTTGCTAGGAGAAAAATTTTAGTTTGTTAAGTTTGAAGCAGTTTGTATACTCAGGAGGTAAAAGTCTAGGGATCCCAAACCACTAGTCTATAATAATAAAAGCATAATATGCTAATTAGACCAGACATCCTTCCAGACAACCTTCCAGATGAAGCCAGGGCTGCGAGGGGAGCCCGGGTCCTGGGTGCCTGCTGGTGGCCAGAGAAAAAGCCTGGGTCCCTAGTGCCAGAGGAAAGCCAGTGCCAGCGGCCGGGGAAGGAAGGCCTACTCTTGCATGCATTTTGTGCATCGAGCCTCTAGTACTAATATAATGAAGGATAAAGTAAAAGTTGTAAAAGCTGTGGTCCAGTCACAAGGAACTTTGTAGGATCTGGCAAAAAAGTAATTTATTAGGAGGATGCTAGCATTCGTTCCAACCTTGCTCAATGAGTTGGACTTCAATTGACAGGATATGGGAAGAAAAATATGAGAGGATGACGAATATCATGTGAGAAAAGACAAAAGATGTTAGAATTCAGTAGTCTGTGGAGCTGGGATGTGGACTATCTAAAGCATGGTGGGGAACTTTTTTTCTGCCAAGTGCCATTTGGGTATTTATAACATCATTTGCAGGCCATACAAAGTTATCAACTTAAAAATTAGCCTGCTTGCCCTAGCCGGTTTGGCTCAGTGGATAGCGCGTCGGCCTGCAGACTGAAAGGTCCCCAGTTCGATTCCTGTCAAGGGCACATAACCAGTTTGCAGGTTCTATCCCCAGTGGAGGGTGTGCTGGAGGCAGCAGATCAATGATTCTCTCTCATCATTGACGTTTCTCTCCCTCACCCTTTCTCTTTGAAATGAATACAAATATATATTTTAAAAATTAGCCTATTATATTTGGTCGAACATTTAATTAACTCAAACCTAATGCCTTGGCAGGGCCAGACGAAATGATTTTGCAGGTCTCATATGGCCTGCGGGCCGGACATTCCCCACCCTGATCTAACGGGTTATATCTGAGGATGATTGTGGAGAACCTTGATTGCTATATTAAACGAATTGTTAGTGAAGGCACCAGGAGCATTTCTGTGTTTGAGAAGCAAAAAGACTTTTTCTGTAAGAACACTGGCTATTCCTGGCTGTAACATGTGCAATTCTCTTGGCTTTCACAATGAAAATTAAAAAGGGTGCCCTATGCATGTTGAACATGTTGCTGCGTGATTTAAGCAGATTTATGTGAATATGCTCTCACACATTATTGGTCTTTCGAAGACATCGTCAGAGTAGTTATGATTCTGATAAAATGGCAATTCTTTTCATCCTTGAGCAGAACTAACCTAAAATTAAATTGTAATTGGAATGGTTCTTCTTGGCACTTTGAACTTTTTTCACATTTGGTGTATTAACTATATTATATGTAAGTAAGAAAATCACCAGATTTGGTAAAAAAAAAAAAGTACAGTGGCTTCTATTTCTAGCTGTTTTCTTTATTAGCTAGCTGTATGTTCTTGGACAATGCCTTGAGCTTCAAGCTCTTCATCTGCAAAATAAATACCTATTTTACTTAACCTTATCGATTAATATTTTACTTACCTGATAGATTATATTACGTGGTTTATGTGAAATGGTTTTGCAAATTGTATATCACTTTTCATATGTAAGGTGGCACATCTTCCCTGCCAGTTCAATCATTTGTTTAAGGTGCAGACAGTCACTTTGTGCATAAGAGCCCTGTTGTGGTTTATTAGAGTTGGCAAAGCCCTTGAAAATCCTGCCCATTCATGATTTTCTGAATTAAAAGATGCTGTCCCTGGTTGTTTTTTCTTAAGGTAGCCTCAAGAAATAAGAAAGCCCTTAGAATATTTTAGTCTTAAATATATTTCTATAGGTATTATGTTAGAGAACGTTACTGAACTATCTATAGAGTACACATTAAAGTTACTATTTTAGAATGTACTGAAATGTTGTGTTTCACTAAGAACTGATATGGAGCCTGTGAAACCTACTTGCATAATCAGCCACCCTGAGTATTTTCTTTTCTCAAAATAACGTAATAAAATTAACCAGCTATAAGTCACACAAAGATGTGCTTTTCCTAGAAGAATAAAAATTCTTTATACCAGTGGTTCTCAACCTTCCTAATGCCGCGACCCTTTAATACAGTTCCTCATGTTGTGGTGACCCCCAACCATAAAATTATTTTCGTTGCTACTTCATAACTGTAATTTTGCTACTGTTATGAATCGTAATGTCAATATCTGATATGCAGGATGTATTTTCATTGTTACAAATTGAACATAATTAAAGCATAGTGATTAATCACAAAAGCAATATGTAATTACATATGTGTTTTCCGATGGTCTTAGGCGACCCCTGTGAAAGGGTCGTTAGACCCCCCCAAAGGGGTTTTGACCCACAGGTTGAGAATCGCTGCTTTTATACTCTTCCAAGGCAATGAACCTTTAGTCTTTATTTCTTTTTCAGTTTATGTAGTTAGCAATAGATTTGAAATACGTATCTTTAAGAATTTTTTTTTCTGTCATCTGGCTTTTGCCAAAACTTTGATGTGGCAGAGGTTTCACACTACAAATATATAAAAGACATAGAGGTAAAGTTTAATTTCTCATCTAGCAAATATGTACAAAGCAAAATTGACGTCTAGCTGCATTTTGCAATCTAATGTTAATTATTGTCCTTAGTTATACTGTTGGCTACATTTTGTGTATTTGAATGGCTCTCAGAACAAAGAAAGATGGGAGTAGTAATGGAATAAAATAGACTCTTGCCATTAATCATTAATTCTTTTATGTCAAGACAATTTGTGGAATTCTGTGGGAAGTAAATTATGATAAACGTCATTCATCCAAATCACATTTCCCACAATTGATATCTAAAAGTACATTCATAAGAACAATAAATGTCTTGAAAACGACTCACTAATACAAAGTTGTATTTTGGATGCTAGCAATAAGAGTAGTGCAATGAAAATACAAGTAGCATAAAAATAAAAGAAAATACAAGTAGCTTATAAAATTCACTGGCTCTTAAAAATATGCCATCAAGGGAAATGAGCTTGTTAATATGTGTGAATAGTTTAAACTTGGTTTCCATACACAAGTATCAACTTTTGAAGCCCCATTCAACCAAACTAGAGATAGTAATGAAGTAAACATGAATCCTTTGATTCATCTTGTCCACAAATATTTATTAGATTTAGTTATATCCCAGTATGAGTTTTATGAGATCAGTGAGATAGCATAGATTATACATTGTTCTTGATAGAGTGTGAAAATGCAGAGTTAATAGATCAATAGGTAATATTCTATTTAACATCATTACTGACAGTTGTTATTCTGACACTTCTTATCAAAGTAAATACTTTTTCATTTGTTTGTGTTGGGCATATGTACAATTAATGGCACGTGTATTACTGACAGAAGTTCCATAGGGCCTTTAAGACTGAGTTTTCTCTGAGACCAGGGTTTCTCAACCTCTGCACTATTGACATTTTGGACCAGATGATTCTTTGTGGGGTGGAGAGGGGCTGGCCTGTGCTTTGTAGGATGTTTTTTGTTTGTTTGTTTGTTTGTTGTTGTTTTTTTTGTTAAAATATATTTTTTTTATTGATTTTTTACAGAGAGGAAGGGAGAGAGAGATAGAGAGTTAGAAACATCGATGAGAGAGAAACATCGACCAGCTGCCTCCTGCACATCTCCCACTGGGGATGTGCCCGCAACCCAGGTACATGCCCTTGACCGGAATCGAACCTGGGACCCTTCAGTCCGCAGGCCGACGCTCTATCCACTGAGCCAAACCGGTTTCGGCGCTTTGTAGGATGTTTGCAGCATCTTTGGCCTCTACCCCTTATATGCCAGGAGCACCTCCCCCTAACCTATGCTATGACAACCAAAAATCTGGGAGA